AAAAAAAAAAAAAAAAAAAAAAATCAAAACACCAAACCCAAAACCAACCAAAAAAAAAACCCACACAAAAACCACCACCCCAACAGATTCCCAAACAGCTCGATCATATCTTCACTTGCTGATCAAGGACAGAAGTCAGCTGCAGGAACACAGTGTGTCTTGTATCGAGGTTCCATGTCAGCTGCGGAGCACTGCATCAGTATGTGCTGCAACATACCAAAACCTGGAGCTGCAGCAGTAACTTTCAAGGCTCTGGCCTGCTTATACTCGGCTGATGGTACCCAGGAAACCTGCAAGAAGTCACTAGACAAAGCACTCAGTGGGAAGGTTGCAGAAGAGAAAGTGGGAATGGCCATGTACTGTCATTAATAACAACCACCTTCTCCCCATCTTGCGTCCTCCACAGCCTCTTCAGGGAAGAGGCCAGCAAGCTCTGCTGTGATAGAGCTGCTATTGCTTCACATAACTCAGGTGCTCCTAAGATCCCTGTTTAGATGGCAAAAAGGACACTGAACAACATCAACAACAATTTACACTAGTCTGATTGAGTCCCCTGAAAAAAGGCTTCACACCCACATAGATCAATGTCAGACTTCAGAGCAAAAAGTCTCATTCTTTTCCAGCACCATATTAAATCCAGAAAAGCACAGTTATCCCAACCTGAAGCTGCACCCTGCAGGAGTCTCCCCCAAAGGTCCAACACTGTGGCTGTGTAAAAGTTTTCCCACACAGATTTTCCCATCAGAAAGTGAAGCTGTTAGACATTTGCCAACAACAAAACTCCACCACTCAAGGGGAAATTAAAACACAGAAAGATTGCTTCAGCGTGTGATATTTGACTAAGCACTTGAATTTTTATTTCAAAACATCCACCAGTGATTTTTACTTCCCTTCAATTTTTTTATTTCCCCCTCTGCTTTAAACTAGAATGGGAGATTCCCACATGGCAAAGTTCAAAAAAAAAAAAAAAAAAAAGTAAAAAAAAAAAAATCTACCAGCTTTCCCAACATCATTGTTTAAATCGGCTTTAGATGGTTTTATGCAACACTTTATAGACTTGGAGACGGACACGTTCCCCTGACAAAGCATCAGCTATCCAAACAGCCGAGGCATGGGAAAACTGTGCAAGAGTGTGAACTGGGGAAGGTCTTTAGTGAGCAGAGATACAGTCCACACTCATGTAAGCATGGTAGCTCTGAACAAAGATCTACAGGCTAATAGATATGTAAGACAAATGACATGTGGTTCTCATTGCAGCTTATGCTTTGGGAAGGGGGTACCTTGGAACAGATCCAGCTGGGATAGGTTTATCCCATTACTCTCCTATAATTTTCTGCTGTTTCAAACCCTTTGACAGTTACTGTAGTTTAACATCACACCCCCTACAGACTGAGGCCTGTTTGACAGCCCAGCAAACAAAACCACCCCCACTTGGAGATGAAATATGCACCATATGTGAGAACCGTGCAAGACACAAGGCTAGCGCCCACTCTTGTACTCCTGTGACACGCCGATGAAAATCTGCTGTGTAGATGTCTTATCCCAATTCCTAGCCCAAATAAGCAGTGCTAACATAAGCTCTTCTCCACAGCAGCATAACTCATGCATACTAGGTATTAGCAAGGGGAGGAGGAAAAGAGGTAGAGACAGGATGGACGAGCCCTGAATATTAAATTCCCAAGTCCCGGGAAAAAAAAAAAAAAAAAAAAAAAAAAAAAAAGTGAAATTCAAGAACAACTGGAATCAGGTTAAGCCACTCTCTCGCTTTATACAGTGCGGCTCATTCATCTGAACAGCTGTTTCACCTCCAGAGAAATACCCAGAGAAAACAGAGGGGAGGGGGAGAAGCCTAAATTGTTTGCTCTACTGAAGCAGCAAGACACAGTAAATCAAAACTGATTTACATTAAGTCTGGAAGAAATTGGTTTGGGGCAGAGGGGAGAGGAGAAGAGTGGGAGGTTTGGGTTTAAACAGCTATTTGAAGGCTGCAGCTCTTGAGGTCTTTCCTTTGTTGAGCTGAACCAGTTTCTCCTCGCAGCCGAGGGCTATCGCAGTTCCCTCTGCCGGCATCCCCGGGGTCCCGGTTCGGGAGGCTCCAGGCTCCGGCTGCGCAGGGACACGCTGCCCGCGGCCCCGGCAAAGACCTTCCCCGCCCCGACGGGCTGGGGGGGCAGGAAGGGGAGTTTGCGGGTTCCCTCTGCCAAAGCTCAGCTCCTCCTCGGTTCCCCAGTCACCCCCGCCCCAGAGGGGGGCCCTGCCACGGGCAGGTAGGAGCTGCCCCCACCGCCGCCCCCCCAGTTAGGGTGAGGGCAGCCCGGCCCGGCGAGCCCCTCGCACCCTCC